TGCTGGTAATAACTTTTCTTAAAAAAATTAATTGCAGGTAATAACTTTTTATAAAAATGTATTGTTGGTATTAAAACCTATTTTTACACTTTCACAGTGTTTTGACTCCAGTTTGGGGGTTAACAATTTGCCCATAGCTGGGACCCTAACAGGTGCTACCACTCCGGGTCAGCAGCAATTAAGAGGTGGTTCTATGCCCCTCAAAATCTCCTGATCAGAAACCTCGTTGGACGTAGTTTATCGTTTTACACAGAATGCGGATGTAGTTTATCAGCTTACCCATCCAATTCATTTGACGATTTATTTTCAATGGATAGCAACATATTCTTCTTTTATGTGCTGTGTCCCTTCAGGACGTAGGCGATCATGGCTCTCCACATCTTTCTGTACCCTGTTTCTCTTAATAAGTTTTGTCTTTTTGTTATTTCTCCTAAACCCTGTTCTACCATCCATTTACTCAAGCACATCAAGTATATTCCGCGCTGCTTTCCTCTGTACCTCTTTCCGTCAATGTGCCTTGTGAGTATCTGGTTTTCCAAGCCTTTCTTCCTTATTACGATCCCCAGAAATGTCAACTGCCTCTTCCTGACGTTAAGTATGTTTCCTTTTTGGTTCCATTTTCTCCAAAACCTCGTCATGTTCGGTCCATGAAGGTATCCTCAGCATCTTTCTATAGAACCGCATTTGTCTTGCTTCAAGTCTCTTTCTTATCTTTGAGGAGATTTTTTTACATTCGCTACTATACAGGAAGAGAGATATCACCAATTCAGTACTATTTTCCTTGTTTCTAACGAAATTTTTCTGTCTCTTAATACCCTGATTAGCTTTATGAAGGCATCTTTGGCCATCCCAATAAGTCTTCGCACTTTCCGTCATCTGTTAGAACACTTCCCAGATATTTAAATTTCTGTAATTGTTTTATTTTAGTATCCCTGATTTGTAATTTTATTTTAGGCTCACCCTTTTGCTGATAACCATACATTCTTGTAGCTTGTACTTAGTCCTTTCTTCTCGCGTTTCTTCGCTTTCCATGTCTGCTATCAAACTGCGTCATCTGCATATCTTATATTGTTAAGATTGTGGCTGCCAATACTGAATCCTGGTATGACTTCTAACTCTCTCAGAAATGCCTTGCTTTATAGCTTGATATATGATTCCGAATTCTCCTCGGGCAGCAAATTACTTAATCTTGTCTTTATGATCTTTAACTTCGAATATATCTTCTCACATGGGACATGACCGGCAGTAAGATCTCTGAGGTTGGATGCTTTGAGGAGCGTGGAACCACTTCATAATTGCTGTTGTTCCCAGGTCTACTCTGACCTAGGGTGGTAGAACCTGTTACGGTCCCAGTTATGGGCAAATAGTTAACCCCCTAAACTGAGGTCAAAGAACCATGAAAGTATAAAATAGATTTTATTGTAAAAATAACATCAATACATTTTTGAAAAAAAAAAAATTACCAGCAATACATTTGTCTCTCGACAAAACCCATCTTTACAAAAATACTTCAATGAAACCTGATCTATAAACTGATTTCTTACAAAGAATCCATATTCTATTAACAGAAACCAATCCTAAAAATCTTGTCGGCATTAAATAACCCATTAAGATATTGATATGCCATAAAACTAAATAAACTAATCCAAACCGTGGGACTTGAATGACTGGCAGTGTTTAGATGACTTTATAAAAAACGTAGACAAGCGTAATAGTAATAAAAAAGAATCTTTTTATTACTATTACAGTGGTCTGCGTTTTTTTTTTATTGAAATTTTATTTGATATGGGGGGGGCACTCCATTAAAGGTTAAATATAGGTTATATACAGTTAAATAGGTTAAATACTACGATAGACTAGCCTTGAATGGCAACCAATCGACGAAAAAGAAAACTGATTTCCAAAACGTGGATAAGGTAACGAGAAGCTACTCCGCTATCTTTCTCAAGAATGTATGACAGTTCACAGATAATAAAGAACATTCTATAGAAAGCCATGATTGCGTACACCCTCAGTACATATGGATCAGGGGAGAAAAGTTTCCCAATCCTATTAATATCACCGCACCTTTCCACTTTTAATAAAACTGAGAAGGTACTGCCGTCGGAGATCATTTTATGGCCAATAAAAAATATACTACGTTAAATTTTATTATGTAAGACAATGTTTACAGGAAATAATTGTGGTTAAGCAACTAATGTTGATAAAAAAAAATTTAGGCAATATAAGTATTTACTAGTGCGTCCACCACGCAACAAATACGACACAAGGTCAGTTTAAGGTGGGTTTCTTGACAGTATCATGAAAAAATTTCCAAATCCCCTCGTCACTTCCACTTTTGGGGACGCCTCAGGCAATAAACTCAGTCCCCTCCCCCTACTGCCTGGGGAGAAAGCCATCTAGGGTTCGAAATTCAGGCATTATATTGGGTGAGTTTCAAATTTATCGATCCCTATTAAAAATATTGAGATTTGTCTTAATGGCGTCAGATTTTATTAAGCAACTAGCAGTAGAGCCCGGCGTTGCCCGGGGATGTAACAGTAAGAGATAGATCAAGTATCGACCATCATAAATACTGAAAAATAAAATTGACAAAGATTATTGTTTAAGGTTGACGGACACGCATGTCTTAATTAGTTTTTTTTTTTTTACGAATTGGTCAAACTCAAACAAAAACATTGTTTTCAATCGTTATGAGTCTACCGATTGAATAGAATTTTATTATAAATAATTGTCTTGTAAATGAAATTTTTAAAGCATTCTGAATGTAAAAATAAAGAAAAAAGTGTGCAAGACAATAAGAAACACTACCTGCCAAAAAAGTGAAGTTTTGTTGAAATCGGTTGAAAAAATGTAAAATCCGATCCCATATATAAACGAACACACACACACACACACACACACACACACACACACACACACACACACACACACACACACACACACCTGGGTTTTACACAACCTGGTTTTATAAGTATAACTCGATATGAGTTGTCCCCTTTCATTCTCGCGATGCCTCTTAATCGTGTTTTCAAATTGATTTCGTGCAAAAACAATTGTGTTTTTCCAATTTTTGGCGCTGTCAGAACCACCACAAGGTAATTTTACTTAGTCCTGTGAAGTTTTGTTGAAATCGGTTGAAAAATGTAGGAAATCCGATCCAATATATAAATAGACACACACACACAACCTGGGTTTTATAAGTATGATGTGTAACCTATATTTTTATTTATAAATAAACCCAAACGAGGTAGATCAGAGATATATATGCTTAATTTACACAATCTCTTATATACCTGAATTAATGAATATTTTATTATTTTACATGTCAATACGGGGTCCTTTATTCTCTGTATGTACTTCGAAGGTAATTTAGAGCCGGCGCATCTTACCCCTAACCTCTGACCGGGTAGTGGGCCGTTTTGGGAGGGCCCCGTTGTGGCCTCTGCAATTTTTTCAGCACTATGGCCATCGATTATTTTCTAAAATAATTTTTTACATTACATTGTCAGCCATCAACTAATAATATAGATCATGTATCATCATGGCCGATGCAGTGCGTACTACGCAGGAACATCCAACGAGGTTGGAGTCCCTAAAAGGGCCAGTTTCAGCATCATTTTTTTCTTTTTTTTTTGCGTTTTGTACTTTTTACTTTTTTCTACCTAAGTTATATTGTCAATCATCAATTCCCCGAACCTCTCAACAACTTGGGGGCTTCCATGACTACTGGGGAGAAGTGCAGAAGTGCTAATTTCAGTAGGGTTTATTTTTTTAAAATTGTAATTTTCTTTCTAAAAAGTTCTTTTAAATCAAGAGGATAATATCTCTGGGTAAAATCATTTTTCATTCTGTAATCCTCCACTAAGAAGTATCTATGTTTTTTACTAATAGTAATACTAACCAGAAGTCCAGGGCAAGTAATTGAAATAAAATTTCTAGTCCCTATTTGTTTACATTTCTAGAAAGATAAAACCAAGAAAACGATTGCTTAAAAAATAAAAATGTTTAAATATTTCGGCAGATGATTTTTTTCCCGAAAATGGAAATACAATTTTTAAAGCAATCCTGTTCCTGTCGTGTAGGAATCTTTGTAAAACTTCTTTTTCAGCGGAGATGCGTCGACAATTAATCTTTGTAGAAATGTAAAAATTTACGACTTAAACATTTTTTTCGAGTAAAATTTAGTCATGAAAAAATTGGTGGTTATTACAAAAAGAATAACATTTTAAAAGATTCTTAAAAAATAAAAACACTATTCATTATATGAGTAAATAATGAATATGTACTGAAATTTTCATTTAAGCTGGATAATTCTCTGATTTTTGGTAATTGGAAAATAACTGCCATTCCTCCTTCGAGGGTTCGTGGCCTCCAGGTTGGGAAACTTTGAAATTGACATATAGTAGAGAGGGGGGTCCTATATCAAAGTTGTGTCGGAGGGAGCGTGACCTTAGCGCCGGCTCTGAGGTAATTGTCGTCTCTTGCAATTAATGAAACCAGAATTTAAATTTGTTCCTTCTCATTTGTCAAATTGCAGTTGAAAAAGTAAAAGACGAAAACAGGAATAGAAGAAGAAGAAGACGAAGAAGAAAAAAAGAAGAAAAAAAGAAGAAAGAAGAGGAAAAGAAAGAAAAATAAAATATAAGAAGTAACAGAAAAGAAAAATGAAAGAAGTAAAAAAGAAAAGAAGAAATCAAGGAAAACAAAAAAGAAAGAAAAAGAAATTGATTTGTTTTTACGGCTTATCAAGCCTTTGCAGGCCATTTAAAGCCAGAAAATATTTTTGGATTGTAACAAATTTTAGACATAATAGTAGTAATTTGATGATATAAGCCCTACTATTTAACCTATATCAAGGGGGAGAAGAGGTGGATTCATACATTTTTCAAGCTTATATGCACGTCAGTGAATATACCGAACCCAAGTGGAATTGGAACTCGGCTCTCTCCCATTTCCAACTACCAGCCGTTATCCACTACACCACCCTCACATCCAAGCTTACAGCACCTGGTATTCCCAAGCGGTCCTCCATCTAGGTACTGACTGGGGCCAACGTTGCTTAACGTTGGTGAAGGAACATGAACCGGTGTTTCAACGTGATATGGCCGTAAGCCGAAAAAGAAAAGAAAGAAAATAGAATCTGAGAAGAAAATAAAATAAAAAGAAAGTGCAATGGAGAAAACGAAATGGCGGAAGGAAGAAAAACGGTAGAAGAAAGAGAAAGAAAATGAGAGCAAAAGAGAAAAAGAAAAAGTGGATAAAGGGTTGGATAGAGGAAAAGAGAGAGAGAGAGAGAGAGAGAGAGAGAGAGAGAGAGAGAGAGAGAGAGAGAGTCGATCTGTGAGTGAAGATTATCGTGTGTTCATATTTTTCAGATTTCCAGCTGTGTCCACTCAATAAACAGGCAATAAAACCTTCAAGTTTATCGAGCTACAAATCATTTACAAATATCTTTGCCCAGAAATTAGTCATCTCCGGACATGTTGTCTCGAGTATAAAATAAATAAATAGAATAAAATAAAAATTCAATAAAATAAAAATTAGGCCGTGGATTCCATAAGAAACGGCCAAGATTTGCCGTGTGGCAATTTGCGATCTTTACAAGATTTTAATTAGCACCATCAGCCAAAATTTTTTCTATGGACCTATCTCAATTTGTTTTGTATTTATTCTTGAAAAAAAAAGTGTTTTAGAAACTTTTATACAGACATTTAATTCTAATATATATTGTGATTTAATAAACGTAAGTTAGTTGTGACACAGGGTAGGAATAAAAATATGGAATACGCAGTTAAGATCCTACTTATTACTCTGTCGAGACAAAATTGCTAATCATTAACGTCGTAGTGCCTAATTCTATCTAGTAATGTATAGCAAGAATAAGTTAAGGTTGGGAGAAATACCTCTTTCTCGCTGGCTAATAGGCAGAGGGGGAAAAAGAGACGGGAGGTAACAAAAATAACACTGCCTGAGCTTGTTTCAGCTTGAGGAATAATGTCCACAGAACCAACTTCGCAAGACACCATGTCTCGCCCGACTGCTGATATAACCTAGTCTTACAAAGGTCCGGACCGTGACCAGTTGCAGAGAGGCCCGTATCTAGACATGCCAGACTGTTCCACTGCTAATACTGCTAGTAATATATATAGTGCATGTATACGCAGAAAGAATTACTTTAAGCAAATCCTAAGTTCAATCCACATGGACTGTTTATTTTTTATCGTATTTTTCCAATTTTCAAATAATTTGAAATGTGTGGATACACTGTTTTTCCAGTGTACAATCATACTCTTTTTAGAAGCTGCTTATTCTTATTTATTCTTATTCTAATTAATATATATATATATATATATATATATATATATATATATATATATATATATATATATAAAGGAGAAAGGTTTGAGCACACAGATAATTTGGAAGATTTTAGGTTCCGCAAGTACTCCTAATAGTCTTAGAGATAGGTGTGACTTATGTCTAGAAGAAAAAATTAGAATAATAAAATACAGTAATCAAAGCAAACTAGCAAATCATAGGAATGAATTTGAGTTAAAATGTTGACATAAAAACAAATTTCCATAATATAGGTTTAATTTAATTAGCTACTATATTTTCATAATATTCACTCCCTTCTAACTCTTCAAATGTCAAGTGTATAACTAATTCTAATTTTTATATCCCCATAACCTCTTTACCTATATTAATTATATTTTATAAACTTTCCACTACTCTAAGATCCCCGCAACTCTCTTTCATCCCCCACATCTTTTTATCTATATATTTTAAAGTTATTTTTAAACCCCTTTTTATTCCTCTTTTAATTTTAAATTAATATTTCATTCTTTATATAACTTCAAATTAATGTCATAAGGCCAAAATTCGGGTTTAATTTGCTAAAACTTTTTCCCTTTCACCCTCCCCTAACCCCTGTCTCGTGTTTTTTACCTGAATGTAACATAGAAATGGATAAATTCTGTATTAGCTTTTCGACTGATTTTTTTTTTTACACAGTTAAATTTTTATATCTGGCACGAACTCAGTCCAAACAAGGTTCTGATAAGACCGATATCTTCGTTTGCCGAAATAGTCTATTCCCCATGTTAGGTGATTTTTGGATTTTATTATTTGCTCTGTAGTAATAAATACATTGAGCTCTTTTTGTCGATCAGTTTTAATATTTTATATTACAAGGATCCAATTTGTAATATATACCAATGGAATTATTAACTTTACTATATATATATATATATATATATATATATATATATATATATATATATATATATATATATATATGTGTGTGTGTGTATGTGTGTGTATGTGTCTGTGTCTTTGTGTGTTTGTAGCATGTACGAAACAAAAGGGAAGATAATGAGACAAAGTGGAAATGCTATAAACGACGCGTTCCGCCGAAGAACGTCTGCTGTCTTCGGCATCTTCAGGTCAGAATTAAATACAAAACTGAGTGTAAGGACAAACGCATTGGGATATCTAATGATAAGAGGGGGCAGGCATAAATCAAATAACCTTATCACACCCAGTGAATAGGTTGTACTGGTTATTTACTGCTTTTCACTGTTGATTTATTCTGGTAATTCTGAAATATATATAAAAAAGATCGCCCACAAATGTCTGGGTATAGTGTATCGACAAATATTCCTGGCTGGTGAAAATTCGGGTCTAAAAGCATTTGCTACTTTTATTTCTAGGTTAATCAGACATTGGTCGAACCCATTTCGTTTGCACAGTTCTCAGTGTGATTATTTCTACCCTGTTGGGCCTGTTCGTGTATTATTATTATTGTGCGTAATTAAATGTGGGTGCTTATATATGTGTGCATTCATGCTTGTGCCTGCGAGTACTTCGAAGCGTATGTGTGTACCCGTGTGCGCAGTCTGTTGTGTATTCGCAGACAGTAATAAGCAGTTATAAAGAGAAGAAGTAACAGATTAATAAGCTGAAGATATCTCCTAAAAACGGCCATCAAAATTCCTACGGTTAAAATCCACTTCGTTTAAGCCGGAAGCGCAAGTTTGAAGTCGGTGTGAAAACTTCAAGGAATGTAGCAGCTTATCATGGCAGAGAGAAATCGACCAATCGAAACGGCTAAATACTGTCACGTGCTCATGAATTACTGAGTCAAAAGCGAGCGGACAGGCAGTTTACCAACCGAAACAAAAACATAAACTCTCATTAACATACTAGGACATCATCCGAAACATCCTATCCGTCATTTTTTTTCTTTTACTAAACCTAAATTTGCTTATCTATGTGATTCGGTTACTATCTATCTATCTATCTATCTATCTATCTATCTATCTATCTATCTATCTATCTCAGTCGGTCGATTATCTAAGTTTTTTCCAGCCTGTCGGGTTCAGTCTATTGATAGACCTTTCTCTTTGAGCTTGCGTATGTCAGTGTTTGTTGGTGTACTTGCGTTAAACTTTGATAAGAAATCATGTAGGTAATACTCATATACCTAAAATTATTCATAAAAATTCTGTGATGAAAGTGAATAAGTTAATAGTAATTTTCTTTAGGAAATTACTATTAACTGTAGCAGGTATTTTTGGCGTCATATTTCACACTCTTTCACTCCCTCTTAAACTATCACTCACACACAACATGCTCCCCTTAACTGTTCTTTATGAATACAAATTTATTTAAAAATACGTATTTGTATAAATTTTTATTTTATGTTAGCTGGTTTTTATGCATCTTAACATAGGTCTCTTGTTAGAGTGAATGAGAATAAAGACGTTGGTTAGATCCAGTGACTAGCTTCTAGTGATATAATGGCTGTCTATATCTCTGAGATGAGGTATTATGATTACTTGCATTATTTACATTATTCGGACTGTTATCCTCATCTTCATTGCCATATTCACAAGGACACATGGCCCAGTGGATAAAGACGTTGGTTAGATCCAGTGACTAGCTTCTAGTGATATAATGGTTGTCTATATCTCTGAGATGAGGTATTATGATTACTTGCATTATTTACATTATTCGGACTGTTATCCTCATCTTCATTGCCATATTCACAAGGACACATGGCCCAGTGGATAAAGACGTTGGTTAGATACAGTGACTAGCTTCTAGTGATATAATGGTTGTCTATGAATATTGAGATGAAGATGATGATTACAGTTGAATTATTTAAATTATATAAGGACTGTTATCCTCATCTTCATTGCCATATTCACAAAGGACACATGGCCCAGTGGATAAAGACGTTGGTTATGATGAAGATGACTAACTTCTAATGATATAATGGTTGTCTATATCTCAGAGATATAGAGGCCATTATGATTACTTGCATTACCAACATCTATCATCAACGACCAAAAACGTTGTGAATATGGCAATGAAGATGAGGATAACAGTCCAAATAATGTAAATAATCTCAATAATCATAATATTACTCATCTCAGAGATATAGACAAACATTATATCACTAGAAGCTAGTCACTGATCTAACCAATGTCTTTATCCACTGGGCCATGTGTCCTTGTGAATAGGGCAATGAAGATGAGGATAACAATCCGAATAATGTAAATAATGCTAATAATCATAATACCACATCTCAGACATATAAAGAGATATTGAATGAAAATTATTCAAGAGTTTTTTTACGATAATTGTTAGTATTCAAGAGGTACCGTCGTTGGCGACAAAAGGTGATTAGTATTTTGGTCATATTTTTTCGCTAAATACACATACGTTACGTGTATCAGCAACATTATCATCATCAACATTTCCTCGACTGATTAAATCGTCGCGGTGACCTGAGGTCAGAAAAAATAGACAACCTTCTCCAAGCTGTTTGCATGATGGTCTTGCAGAGGCTGTCATGCCGTGTGACGTGGCCATTTTCCGACGCTTAATAGTAGCGAGGAGAGATTCCTGTTTTTGCCAGGCAATTGATCTTGAATACCTGGATCCTTTTTCTTGTGTCGGCCAGGAGTGTTCAGTTTGGCGACGAGGATGAGAGGCAAATTGTTGTAACTGAGTTATCAAAAACAACAGTAGAATTGGTTTAGCAACTAATAAATACTATGTTTTTAAAAAGATTAAAAAAAAATTTCAACGCTGGAATCATTTCCCCTTCACCAATTAAAGCGTAATCGACTTTCGCGGCAACAAATCCTTGGGAATCAATGATATCAAACGAAAGACCAATTTTGAAAAATAAGTGAATTGACAGATTGTAAACTTAACCTAATAGTTTTCATGTGCTTGTGAAAATACATTTTAAAAAAAAAAAAAAAATTAAAACTACCACTTGACAACACAAATTCTTTTGAGTGTTGCTAGCTTTCTTCAAATGTTGCCAGTGTATGTTTACCGAAATCAATGAGTAATCCAAAATGTCGGCCCATAAGGCGGCTAGGCACCTGCTGCTTCCTGTTTAGATCCTGCCATGCCTTTTCCGGCCGTTCGCCTTTCTCAGATATTCCAAACTGATGGCACGAGAAATGAATGGTGGCGACCGCAATGTCTGCTAGCATTCCTTTCTTCTTCCTGACATTCATTCACGTTTTTTTCTTCCTTCTGTTATTCATTCATTTCTTTTCACTTAAACAAAATTTTTTCTCTTCTTTTCGCGAGGCTTTGTTTGCTTCTCTCTCCGCATGGTCCCTTTTCTTTTCTATTTCTTTCTTTTGGGCTATTTTCTTTCTTTTTCATCGCTTCCTTTTTTTCATTGCATTCATTTATATTTTCTTTCATTTTTGTTCCTTTTGCTATATTTTAAATTTATTCATATTCTTTCTTTCTTCCTTTCTTTTTTTCTTTCTTTTGTTTTTCTTTCTTTGCATTACGGTTTCTGTTTAGGGATCATTTTCTTTTTTGTCATCACTTTTTCTTCATCTCTTTTTAATTTAAATTTTCTTTCGTTTTGTTTATTTTTGCTTAATTTCGAAGAAATGTGTTCACATTCTTTCTTTCTTTCTTCTTTCTCGCTTTCATCTCTAATTTCGTTCATTTGTTCCTTCCTTTCCTCTTTTTCTTCATCTCTTTTTAATTTAAATTTTCTTTCGTTTTTCTGTTTAATTTTGAAGAAATGTGTTCAGATTTTTTCTTTCTTTTTTCTTTTTTCATCTCTTTTTTAATTTAATTTTTCATTCGTTTTTTTTTTTTCTTCATATTTTTAATTTAAATTTTCTTTCGTTTTTCTGTTTAATTTTTCTTTGTTCAGATTTTTTCTTTCTTTTTTTTTCTTTCTTTATTTCTTTGTTTGTTTCTTTGTTTCTTTCTTTCCTGCTTTCATCTCTAATTTCGTTCATTCGTTCTTTCCTTTTTTTTTCATCTGTTTTTATTTTTAAATTTTCTTTCGTTTTTTTATTTTTGATTTTTCGAAGAAATGTGTTCACATTTTTCTTTCAGATTTTTTCGTTCTTTTTTTTTTTTTCTTCATCTTTTTTAATTTAAATTTTCTTTCGTTTTTGTTTATTTTTTGCTTTTTCGTTTTCTTCTTTCTTTCCTTTCTTTCATTCTTTCTTTCCCGCCTTCATCGCTAATTTCGTTCTTTCTTTTCCTCTTTTCTTTCATCTCTTTTTAATTTAAATTTTCTTTCGTTTTTGTTTATTTTTGCTTAATTTCGAAGAAATGTGTTCACATTCTTTCTTTCTTTCTTTCTTTCTTTCTTTCTTTCTTTCTTTCTTTCTTTCTTTCTTTCTTTCCCGCCTTCATCGCTAATTTCGTTAATTCGTTCTTTCTTTTCCTCTTTTTCTTCATCTCTTTTTAATTTAAATTTTCTTTCGTTTTTTGTTTATTTTTGCTTAATTTCGAAGAAATGTGTTCACATTCTTTTCTTTCTTTTTTCTTTCTTTCTTTCTTTCTTTCTTTCTTTCCCGCCTTCATCGCTAATTTCGTTAATTCGTTCTTTCTTTTCCTCTTTTTCTTCATCTCTTTTAATTTAAATTTTCTTTCGTTTTTGTTTATTTTTGCTTAATTTCGAAGAAATGTGTTTCACATTCTTTTTTTTTTTTCTTTTCTTTTTTCTTTCTTTCTTTCTTTCTTTCCCCCTTCATCGCTAATTTCGTTAATTCGTTCTTTCTTTTCCTCTTTTTCTTCATCTCTTTTAATTTAAATTTTCTTTCGTTTTTGTTTATTTTTGCTTAATTTCGAAGAAATGTGTTTCACATTCTTTCTTTCTTTTTCTTTCTTTCTTTCTTTCTTTCTTTCTTTCCGCCTTCATCGCTAATTTCGTTAATTCGTTCTTTTTTTTCCTTTTTTTCATCATCTTTTTTAATTTAAATTTTTCTTTCGTTTTTTTTATTTTTGCTTAATTTAAAAATGTTTTTCTTTCGTTTTTCTTTATTTTTTCTTTCTTTCCCGCCTTCATCGAATTTCGTTAATGTTCTTTCTTTTCATCTCTTTTTAATTTAAATTTTCTTTCTTTTTTGTTTATTTTTGTCTTTTCTTTCTTTCTTTCTTTCTTTCTTTCTTTCTTTCTTTCTTTCTTTCCCGCCTTCATCGCTAATTTCGTTAATTCGTTCTTTCTTTTCCTCTTTTTCTTCATCTCTTTTAATTTAAATTTTCTTTTCGTTTTTGTTTATTTTTTGCTTAATTTCGAAGAAATGTGTTTTTGCACATTCTTTCTTTCTTTCTTTCTTTCTTTTCTTTCTTTCTTTCTTTCTTTCTTTCCCGCCTTCATCGCTAATTTCGTTAATTCGTTCTTTTCTTTTCCTTTTTTCTTCATCTCTTTTTAATTTAAATTTTCTTTCGTTTTTGTTTATTTTTGCTTAATTTCGAAGAAATGTGTTCACATTCTTTCTTTCTTTCTTTCTTTCTTTCTTTCTTTCTTTCTTTCTTTCCCGCCTTCATCGCTAATTTCGTTAATTCGTTCTTTCTTTTCCTCTTTTTCTTCATCTCTTTTTAATTTAAATTTTCTTTCGTTTTTGTTTATTTTTGCTTAATTTCGAAGAAATGTGTTCACATTCTTTCTTTCTTTCTTTCTTTCTTTCTTTCTTTCTTTCTTTCTTTCTTTCTTTCCCGCCTTCATCGCTAATTTCGTTAATTCGTTCTTTCTTCTCCTCTTTTCTTCATCTCTTTTTAATTTAAATTTTCTTTCGTTTTTGTTTATTTTTTGCTTAATTTCGAAGAAATGTGTTCATTCATTCTTTCTTTCTTTCTTTCTTTCTTTCTTTCTTTCTTTCTTTCTTTCTTTCCGCCTTCAACGCTAATTTCGTTAATTCGTTCTTTCTTTTCCTCTTTTTCTTCATCTCTTTTTTTAATTTAAATTTTCTTTCGTTTTGTTTATTTTTGCTTAATTTCGAAGAAATGTGTTCACATTCTTTCTTTCTTTCTTTCTTTGTCGCTTTCATTGCTAATTTCGTTCATTCGTTCTTTCCTTTCCTCTTTTTCTTCATCTCTTTTTAATTTAAATTTTCTTTCGTTTTTTTTTGCTTAATTTTGAAGAAATGTGTTCAGATTCTTTCTTTCTTTCTTTCTTTCTTTCTTTCTTTCTTTTCCGCTTTCATCGCTAATTTCGTTCATTTGTTCTTTCGTTTCCTCTTTTACTTCATCTTACGAACCTAAATATAAACTAGGAGAAACGTGATTTTAAAGTTGAAATTTCAGTCACGTGTCAGTTTTTCGTTATCACTGATTTTTCCGTTTCAACTTTTACAGTTGTTCATGAAATGAAATTACTTCTTTAATCAATAATAGTTATATAATTATATATTAGTTTTAAAGAAGTATTATATATAAAAAAAAAAAACATTGTTACGATTTCTTAGAAATATTTTACCGCAGAAAGAAAAAAGAATGATTCGCTTTTTCTAGCTACCAGAGTCGATACCTGTGCTTCTCAGGCCCTTCTTGCAAACATCATTGAGAAGTAGTGTGGGGCCGCCTACAGGATGGCGTCCTGTGACCACCTCACCATATATGATGTCTTTTGGTATACGGCCGTCATTTATACGATGTACGTGATCCAGCCATCGAAGACGGCGTTAAAAATGAAGAAAATGCACCCTCCAGGAGTTTGCTTGCTCCAGCACAACAGGGTTGGTGACTTTGTCTCTCTATCTGATGCCAAGGATATATTCTAGTTTCTGGCTGATGTATGCTGCCCAGGTTTCATTGCGGTAAAGCAGAGAACTAAGAATAAATGTCTGGGATACCTTTAATATCGTGCGCAAGGTCAGCTGACTGTTGTTCCATACACTCTTGCTCAATTTGGCGCCATCACTGCTTCTGCTTTGACGATGCGTTTATCAATTTCGTTGTCAAGAGATAGGTTGTTGGTGATGGTAGAGTGCAGATATGTGAAGTGATCTGTGACTTGAAGCACCACGTCATTGATGCTGATTGATGGAAATGCAGAAACATTTTGATCCATGATTTTTGTTTATTTTATGTTAATATTCATCCCAAATTTCTTACAGGCATGGTCGACTAATCAGTGCTCGGTGTGCGCAGTGAGAGCTGCGTCATCAACAAACGACATTTCTCTGATGTACGCCACTTGGACCTTGCTCTCAGGCAGGCCAAGTTGAAATATTTACCGTTGATTCTTGCGTGCAAGTATAGAGCATCTTGGGAGTGTTGGAACGCAAAGCTCAATAATATGAAAATACTAATATGAATCAGCAAATATGGGAGACAGTAAATAACTGAAACAGACCTTTTATTCCAACAAAGTCGAACGCCTTTGAGAGATTGATGAAGAAAATGTATAGTGGCATCTGTTGTTCACGACATTTCTCCTGGTGCCGACTGCACCCTGCATGTTAAAGTAAGTGATGATGGTTGTCGCTAAGTCGCAATAAACTCTGAACAAGATGTCTGCTGTTAGAACTGGTGTTAAAGTTAATTTTCACCGAGACAATTCAAAGCTAATATACCCAGACGGAACTGAATTTAATATACAACAAAATGAACGTTTGTATTATTTGAAAAGTATTAAATCTGTAAAAACAGCCACCCACGACTTAAGGACTTGGCATAAAATATTAGGCCACTGTAATAATTCGGATGTTAAAAGATTGCAGGAACACGTCACTGGAATGAAAATTACATCTCCATAGGGCTACAACATTGTGACACATGTATTAAAGGGAAAATAACGAAATATAGAAATAGGGATCAAATCCCAAAATCAACAGACATCTTGTTCAGAGTTGAGCTCATAACCTTTGTTGACCATGTTCACCATAGTCTATGAATATAGAATACAGCGCAGTACGTAATCTGTTCAATAAAACAACGTTAAAGATTAACACTCACGAGTCAGGCACTCTACTGAATCTGACTATATTAACATGGCCGCCTTTATACACGTTGCATTGAATATTTTGAGCCTTCGGATTGGTTAAACCTTCTATTGGTGAACTATAAAATGAGTCAGTTCATTTTGGCTGGCTCACTAGTACACGAGGGTACCCAAAAATTCCAACAATAGTCAGCAACTGTGAGGGGCAGTATGTAACTGAAACAGACATTTCATGCTAACAAATTCGAACACATTTGAGAGATCGATGAAGACGATGTATAGTGCCATCGGTTGTTCACGGCATTTCTCCTGGAGCTGACAAAACCCTGCATGTTAAAGGAGGGGAAGATGGTCACTAACTGCGGAGGACAGTAAGTAACTGAAACAGACTTTTCATGCTAACAAAATCGAACGCATTTGAGAGATCGATGACGGCGACGTAGAGTGGCATCTGTTGTTCACGACATTTCTCCTGGAGCTGATGCAGAGATATGATCATGTCAACTGTGGATCTCTTAGCCCTGAATCCACTTTGGGATTCTGTATAGATGTAATCCGCAAGTACTTAGATTCGCCTCAAAACCACTTGAGCTAAGACGTTTCCAACAATTCTTAATAGTGAGTTATTATCCTCACTGCGCTCGCCCTTGTTTTTATATAGGGCAAATTATCTTGGTATTGTGCATGTCCTGATGAAATTTGTCTTCTCCCCAACAGTGGCTCAGCAGACTATGTAGTGGGTTGATGGGAAGCTACTTACCACATTTGATAATCTCTAGCAGCCGTTATCACCCCGTTCTTTACGACAAGCTAGAGCATCCATAGCTTTGCTAAATTCTTCCGTTATTGCCTCAGAGTCCAGCTCTTCAAGAACTGGCAGACGGTCACTAAGTAAAGAAATACATTGCTAATAATTTTGTCATCGAAATGCATTTACATTCAATATCAAAGTGTGTGTTAATGGTAATGATTTAAGAAATATTTATAGAAAATTGGCTCGTCCAGGCGTTTTTTATATAAAATCCCCGAACGTCCGAATTCCAAATAATAATAAAATAAAAATAAAGATGGGTATGCCTGTTAATTAAATTATTAGCATTTACAAACATATATACATGAATTCAAAAGAGTCTAAAAGGAAAAATAGTCTTTGAGTTAACCTCTTTGTGTAGGTGGTACACAGAAAACCTGTGATTTAGAAAAGACATTTAAATAGTTGGCTCACAGAGAAAATCTGTAGTTGAGAAAAGACTTTGATCGTCAGCGAAGATTTACTGACAGACCCTGTTGTTGTTGGAAGCGATTCTTTTGAAGTCGACGACACATTTTTCTTTCAGCATGCGCTGGAGGCGAGGAAGAGAAAGTTATGTAGTCACGTCTTATGTAGTCACGTCTTATGCAGTCACGTCTTATGCAGTCACGTCTTGAAAACAGTCGCATCTCTGCTCGCTGAAAGTCTAAATCTGTTGGTTTGTATAAGAATTTTTTCCTGATAGCAGGCCCGAGAAAAATAGGGATTTTAGTTTTCTTTGATTGGTTAAATATTTCACATAGTGATGTTACATTCTAACCAATAGTGACTTTGATTTAAAAGGTGTGTGTCGTATTCTGGAATCCTTTTTGCGTGTTTGTAATATTGTCTGTTATTAGGTAGAAAATAGTGTTTGGGCATGTTTTAATACGGTATATATGTGGGTA